CTCTGGGATGTCACCCATAATGTTGTGTGCATTGCAATATTTTGAGCAAACTGTGCTCTTACCCTGCTAATTGAACCTTCACACGCTGGTGCAATGTGCAATTAATGAAGATTGGCCACCAGGCTGGTCCAGTTTAGCCATGAAACCTCCCACACTAAAATGACAGGTGTTTCAGTTTCATTGTCTAATCCCTTGTTACGACCCGGCTCGAGAGCCATAACAAATGGGAAGACACGACACAGAGGAACCAGTTTTAAAACCTTAAAAGGTATTTATTAAAATTTTGTCTAGGATTAGGTGAGTTCGTTGGTCCAGTTTGGTGCTCTGTAGCTCCCGAATGCACCGGACATTTCTCACCCCAGCTGGACCATCTGAAGTATTTAGTTCCACCTATTACGATCAAGTTTGTGGTCCAGATTTCCTTGACCACCGTCGTGTCTTCCGTGCACCTCCGCGTCCGCGTTTCAGAGTATTTTCTGCTGCTCCGTAAAACCTGACTTGGCATCCACACACCAGCAGGACGTCTCTCCTCTCCCGGCAGCAGAGAGGAAGCAGCAGGTCCGGGCACCAGCGCCCAGTGAAGTGAACGTGATCGTCAACTTCAACGTGAATGTGCCAATATCCCCCACGAAGTCAGCGAATGAGGTCGACGTGTGTGAGGCATGCCGTATGAGGTGGCGTCACCGTGTGTGAGGCATGCCGTATGAGGTGGCGTCACCGTGTGTGAGGCGCGAAAGCGAGAGCAGACAGCAGCAGACCGACAGGACAGGTCAGGTACAGCACCCCTCAGCACTCCAGGTGCACGCTTCAAGTAGTGCACAGGCCACACCTCCTACGGATGACCTGTGAGGAAGCACAATTAAACAAATAGGCGGCAGCTGGCTGCAATAAACTAAGCAGCAGGGCCGTCACACCCTGTATATCCAACTGCGGCATTACATCAATTGCAATGTAACAGTAAATCACAAACTGGATCTGGTTGATCTTGACATTAGTAAAAAAAAAAGTTTACCCTTAATTCATCCATTATATTCCGCTTTATCTGAAGTCGGGTCGCGGGAGCAGCTTCAGAAAGGGAGGTCCTGACCTCTCTTTCCTCAGTGATGAAAAAATGTAAATGAGTTATCATCTATTTTCTTTTGAGTTGGATGTTTTCTGTTTTAATAACATTACTTTCTATTTTACTAATATTACTCTGAACAGGTCAGAGTGTTTTCTAAGATGTTTTATCTTGCTTTAGCTGTCCTGGGAGTAGTCGGAACATGCGGCTGAGGTATTTTAGATACCTTTAGATACATTTAGATACAATAACATGTTTCATCATGTTTTTCAAAATCTCAGCTGAGAGCTCGAGACGGCGTCCATGCTTGTTCTAATCTTAGTTGAAAAGTTATTTTTCATCTAAATACGTCACCTGGTGTCTGTTGGACGGGGAGAACAAGTTGCTGTGCATTTGTTGAAATGTTTGTTGAAACTTGTAACCACCCATTTTGGTTTATGTTAATAAAAGTTTCAAGGAGGATTAAAACGTTTGGAGAAGTAAGCCACTGTGTTACAGAGAGGCTGTCCCCCTTTGTACAAAGTAAAATCTAACACTGATGTTGTGTCTGTGTCTCCTCCCAGTTGGACATGCCTGAAAAACTTCCCTAGGAAGGTGTCCAGGAGGCATCCTAACCAGATGCCCAAACCACCTCAACTGGCTCCTCTCGATGTGGAGGAGCAGCGGCTCATTTACCCTTATTGCTTATTATTTAACATTATTTTAATGTTTTCATTCCCCCAACCTACTCTGGCACATTTAAATGTCCATAAAAACAACAACAACAAAACGAAACTAAAACGTTTCTGTCAGCCACCTGTTGAATTGGGAGCAGCAGCACTCCTGTGGTTGTCTAATGAGGGTACCTGTGCAGGGTGGGCACCCAGAGCTGTACAAAGTGACAGTTGTTGAATGTAGAAATGTAGAAAAATATTTTCACTGAGTGTAAGAGGACTATTTTTCCTCCCCTCAAATATGAAGTTGTTTTGTGCAAAGTTGGTGTAAATATAAATTTGTTTATGGCTAAAATATTCACTACAATTAGTGGGTTAGTTTCTCCTTTCGCCTGTTCCAAGCCCATATAAAAAAAGACTGTGACAGTAAAAAAAGAAAAACATAAGGAACTTTTTTTGTAATTCAAAATATATTTTGGCTGCAATGTTTCTAAAAACATTCCTCTCTGGCCAATAGCTGCTTTCCTAACTGGATAGTTGGAAACTTGATATTAGTGAGTTGTGGCAAGAACCTGTATGTGATAATTTTCCTCAAGATACAACATTTTTTAAAAATCTCCTACAATAATTCAACATTTCCCATCTGGCAACACTGACATCAGGAACCCATGTAAAGAGTCTGAAGTTAAATCTGTCACTTAAAGGCACAGTGTGTAGGATTTGTTGTTTTCAGAGACATCTAGTGGTTGAATCATCCTCCCTGGTCCTCCCCCCCCC